TCAGTGCTAATAATAAAACCATCAAAGGAAAACAAATCAAATGTGTGAGATGAATCCACATATGATTTTGAACTTAATTTGTACTTATTGATTTTGACAGAGAGTCATAAGGGAGTCATAATGATTACACATGAGAACTGCCAACATACATAGACCTCAGCATGACAGAGGTCACCCTGAGGAAGATAGTACAGAATGTTAGAAAATATTAAGTGCAGCGTATTTTTAGTTAAGACATCAGAGGAGGCAGATCAGTCTGTCTGGGATAGCAGAACACAGATGTGCGAAAACAGAAGCTGGACCAGGAGATTCTTGAAACTCAAAAAAAAAAAAAAAAGATATATTGATCAGCAAAGTAAGATTGTTCTTGGAAAAAAAGCCTTTAATAACATACCATATATACAACTGCATTTGAATTTCACATATATGGATGTACCTTTACCCATAAATGTCTGACCCAGTTCAAAGCTTCCCAATGAATATGGAGGTAGGTGCAGGTCAAAATGGTCTTTTGTGTGAGCAATGTATTAGTCTTCCATGACGTAAGCCAGTCTATGATTTATTTTAACTTCATCAAGTATATGATGTGACTATTTGTGATGGCTCCTTCTTCATTTCATCTGATATGTGACTACCACAGTCCATCTTGGCAGGGAGGCATGGTGGCTGGAGGTGACTGGAGGTGGCTGGAGGTGGCTGGACCAGGAGCAGCAGAAGCTAAGTTTTCACATCATTACTCAGGCACAGGAAACAAGAGAGCAACTGGAGATCTGGCAAGGCTTAAGAACTCTCTAAGCCCACCCCCAGTAAAAACAGCGCCATCATCTGGGGACAAAATGTCTAAATACTTGGAGCCTATGGGGGACATTTTCATTCAAACCATCACATTTCTGTAATTCCCCTGGAACCATAAGCTCAAATAAACTCTTCCTTTTGTAAGTTGCTTTGGTCAGTGTTTCTATCACAGCAACAGAAAAGTGACTGATACAATATGTCAGCACGGAGACCTGAGTTTGATCCCCAGTCCCCACTTCGAGAATACAGCTGGGGTGGCACATGCTAGCAATCCCAGCACTGGGAACATAGAGACAGGCAGATCCCTGGAGCTCAATGGCCAGGCTGTCCATTCTAGTAAGGGCCTGGAAGAAAGCAGTGCTGAGAACAATGTAGTTCCAGAGGGAAATAAGGACTTAAGCAGCAACTGGGATATTTTGGCAAAGAGTCTGGCTAACTCTGCCCTAGACCAAAAAGCTTGCCTGAGGCTAAGTTGAAAAGTAATGTAGTAATTCCTTTGGCAGAAGAAATTTCAAGACACCCTAATGTAGAAATGGTGGTGTGGCTATTAATGGTGAATGTTATGCAGATCTACAGTGAAAGAGAGCAAATGGGGCAGAAAGAAACACGGTTTGGATTGAAAAAGAGTTAGGAAGATTAATGTTGGAGCCAGGGCATGTGATGGAGAGGGTCCCATTGATAAGGAGATTAAAGTGATTGAGGAGGGACCAAGAGATTCAAACTTAAACAATGGAGAGAGTGACTCCAGGGCAAGACCACATCCAGTTAAGCATCCAATGTGTGCAAGGCAAATGCTGCAGGGGCCATAGAAGGGAAAAGTTTCTAAAAAGGATAAAACAGGCTGGAGTCCATCCCAATTTGCAGTCAAACTTGACAGTGTTGCTCATCTGGTGCTGGCTTTAGAGGCATGAAAGATGCAAGAGTGAAGGGGTCATCAATTCTTCCTCCAAGGTTTCAGAGCGCCGCTGAGGCCAGGCAGCAAGGGGTTTCCCTGCCCAGGCCAGGGGTTCCCTTGCCTAGAGAAGGCCCTGATAGGCCATTGTGTGAAGCTGTGCCGGTGAAGCCTGGTTGGCAATGGAGACTCCAAGATGATGTTCTTGATGCCAGAGCTGTGAGGCATCTGCCAAGAAGACCTGCATACAAGGAGTGGTACCAGCCCAAGAGAGAGATGTGTGTTGCATGCAGCACAGCTAGAGAGGCTGAGCCATCTAAGCCCTTTGGAAGTAAAGTCCCAGAAGTTGGATGTGGAGCTATTGGATCTGGTGTTTGTCCTGCTGGTTTTCAGTCTTGTTGTGGTCTGGTATTTCCTCACTAGGCCTCCATTCCTCCCTTTTGGAATGGTAATGTGCAATTGGCTCCGCTCCATGCTGGGAGTATGTAATTTGTCTCTTGATTTTATAGAGGCTTACAGTTCAGATATTTACCTCAGTCTCAGAATAGACTTTGGACTGTGGACTTTTGAATAATATTGAGACTGATAATGACTATGGGGACTTTTAAAGTTGGACTAAATGTGTTTTGCATTTTAAATGGTCATGAGCCTATGGGGTCCAGGGGGTAGAATGTGGTGGTTTGAATGAAAATGTCCACCATAGGCTCCAAGTATTTGGACATTTTGTCCCCATATGATGGAGCTGTTTTGCAAGGTTTTAGAAGGTGTGGAATCCTAGAGGAAACATGTCACTGGGGGTGGGCTTAAAGAATTCTTAAGCCTTGCTGGATCTCCAGTTTATCTCTTGCTTCCTGTGCCTGCCTGATGATGTGAGCGCTTAGCTTCTGCTGCTCCTGCTCCAGCCACCTCCAGCCACCATGCCTCCCTGCCATGACAGACTGTAATTCCCCTGGAACCATAAGCTCAAATAAACTCTTCCTTCTCTAAATTGCTTGGGTCAGTGTTTTTATCACAGCAACAAAAAGTGACTAATACACCCTGCATTTCCATTTCTTGGTAGAATGTAACTACCAGTTAATGGTAATTTCCTCCTTGGCTTTAATAAGTTTGTGCATGCTAGCTTATTGTGATTCTAAAGTAAACTGACAGTTATTTGCAAATGAAACTACATTTATTTTTGAAAATTTTTATATCAGAATGTCACTATATCATGGATCAACTATATTAAATGGACAAAAGAAACTTAAACACATTTTTGTTTTTAATTGGTCCTTTTGAAAACTCAGTTTTTATTTTTTAAGAAGAAATCCATAATACTCATTGTCCTAGTTTGTTTCTTCATTGCTGTGACAAAACACTCTGACGACTACCAACTTGGGGAGGAAAGTGCTTATTTAGCTTACATATCCTGGGTCACAGTTCATCAGGGAACCCAAGGTAGGATCAGGGCAGGAACGTGGAGGCAGGAGCTGGAGCACAGGCCATGGAGGAATGCTGCTTACTGGCTTGCTCCCCTGGCCCCTACTCAGCCTTCTTTTTTATGGAACACAGGCCCACCTGCCCAGTGGTGGAACCACCCACCATGGCCTGGGCCATCCCATATCACTCAACAATCAAGAACATGCCCCATGGACATGGCCACAGGCCAGTCCAATGAAAGCAATTCCCCAATTGAGGTTCCCTCACCCCAGGTGTGTCAAGTTGACACTAAAGCTATCCAGCACGATTGACCCATTGTCAACTTGACACACAAACACATCACTATTAAACCATAACGTTTCCAATCCTTGTCCCCAAGATATGATGTTAACGTTAATATCACAACATAAGACAGCACAACCTTAAAAAACCCACAGTCCTTTAAAAAATCTAAACACTTAAAAGTCCATATTCCCTTTTAAAAGTCTCTTAACTGTGGGTGGGCTCCTGTAAAATCCAAAACAAGTACTGTCTTATTTCAAAGGGAAGACACCTAAGTAAAACCAAAGTCCAGCAAAGTAGCTCGAGGCTGGACATCTGGGATTCACTCATGATCTTCTGGCCTCCAAAGGGTTCTGGCAGCTCCACTGCTCTGACTCTGCCGTCCACAGCACACTCAACTCATCTCTCGCACCATGGCCAGCTCCATTCCACACCTACTGCTGTCCTTGGTGGTCGTCCCATGGTCCTGGCATCTCCCAAAAGCTGGGGTTTCCACTGAAACTGAGGCTACACCTTCACCAACGGCCTCTTCTTGGCTCTTGGGGTGCAAAGCCTCAGATTCTCTCCACGGCCCCTTCAGTCCTGGGGTCTTCACTGCAACCGAAGCTATACTTTCACCTATGGCCTTTCCCGGCCTCTCAGAGTGTCAAGCCTCAGCTGCTCTATTTGACCACTTCATGCTTTCAACACTAGAACCATGCAGGAGACTCTCACATATTACCAAGCCCTGCTTCCAGCTTGAGCTAGAGGCTTGGGTCCCCTCTGTGTGCTGACCTTGAGGAAATACCTCCCAGAAGACATGCAGGAGACTCTCACATATTACCAAGGCCTGCTTCCAGCTTGAGCTAGAGGCTTGGGTCCCCTCTGTGTGCTGACCCTGAGGAAATACCTCCCAAATCTCACCACAGTGATTCTGGTCTCTTGTTACTTACAGCTGATTTTTCAGCCCCAGATAACCAGCATCGATTGTCCCAGTAAAGCAAAGGTTTTGCTTCAGGTTCTTGTCTCTTTTCAATATTAGCTGATTCTTCACCCCCAGCCAACCAGAATCCACAGATTCTCAATACAAAATCTCATAAGAACAGTCCTGATCATCTCTGCTTCCCTTTGAAGCTTCACACGCCAGGCCTCCATTGCCTACAACTCTTTCAACATAACTGTTCCAAGCTCCAAAGCAACAACCTCTAGCACTCAATGGCTTTTCTAGCCGAAAGTTCTGAACACTACCACAGTTCTCCCTAAAACACCAAGGTCAGGTCTGTCACTGCAATGTTCCACTCTCTGGTACCAATTTCTGTCCTACTTTGTTTCTTCATTGCTGTGACAAAACACTGACCACTACCAACTTGGGGAGGAAAGGGCTTATTTAGCTTACATATCCCTGGTCACAGTTCATCTGTATTTCCATTTCTTGGTAGAATGTGTCTACCAGTTAATGGCAATTTCTTTTTTGGCTTTAATAAGTTTGTGCATGCTAGCTTATTGTGATTTTAAAGTAAACTGACAGTTATTTGCAAATGAAACTACATTTATTTGTGACAACTTTTATATCAGAATGTCGCTCTATCATGGATCAAGTTTATATTAAATGGACAAAAGAAACTTATACACATTTTTATTTTTAATTGGTCCTTTTGAAAACTCAGTTTTTATTTTTTAAAAAGAAATCCATAATACGCATATACCACTCCAGAAGATAAATCTAAAGGACGTTGTGAGGAGCTGGATAATCCAGGGTCATCTCAGTAGCTGACGTATAACTGTGAATGTAGGCATCGAGATCTTTGCGTGAGGACCTGGATATAAGTGTTGAAGTTACGTGTGTCCCTGTACAGGCAGCGCAGCACATTAAAAAGTGTTAAGCGCCGAGTTATTTCATTAGGAGACTTCAGTTCTGACAGTTCCATCCAGGAAGCATTGACAGTCTTTTCTTCTTCAAGCTGAAGCTAATCATAAGTCACAGCGGTTATTTATAGTTTAATATTATTTTGTCCATATTCCTTAGATGTGTATCTGTGTGCATTTGTGTATATGTATGTATATAGAATTACGTGTGTGTGTGTGTGTGTGTGTGTGTGTGTGTGTGAAGTCACAGGAATTTGAATGTCATTGATCAATCTTAGGTCAAGCTCCTCAGTTAATTTCTACATTATTATTTTTTTGACCCAAGATGCTCATAGGATTATTTATTAATTTTATTGAGTTTGAGAATTTCATGTCACGCCCTTAAAGGAAACTGTGTCTCCCCCTCCAACAGTTGTCAGTTTCCAATTGTTCCTAGCCAGAGCTGGGGCTTCTTGCCCACCCCCATTAATTCTGGGTTTTAGTCTGGCTTGGACTTGCACAGGTCTTTTGTCACAAGCACTGTGGGTTCATATATGCAACAGCTTCTAGGCAGCAAGGTTTCTTAATATTCATTCCTCCAACACCTCTGGCTCTTGCAACCTTTCCTCCCCTCCTCTGCCTTACCTTATTTTTTGAGTGGTTATATGACTTTAACACAAAACTCAGCAAACATCTGCTTGTCTGCCCCTACCTAGGGCTGGGCTTAGAAGTATAAGCCACCATATCACCTTTTCCACATGGATTCTGGAGTTCAAACTCTGATCCTCATGTTTCCAAGAAAGACACTTATAGACTGAGACATCTGCTCAGGACCCAGCTGTATAACTTCCAGTTGGTGAATGAAGTTTTGGGAAAAATTTAGTAATGGAATACTTAGGTCAAAATAATCGATTTTCATGTATGTGGACCAAGGTACCATAAAGAACTTATGGAGAACCAGAATGTTGATATTTCACAATAGACATGAACTTAACCAAGAGACAATAGGCAAGTTAACATCAGTTCTTTCATTTGAAGGAGCTGTGCATCCTCAGTACTTTCCCTGACCTGCCTTTCACATTTTATGAGTTCTCCCAGAGTTTCCTGATCCTCCTCTTTCTTTCAACTAAATCTATCTATTGGATGTGATAGAGTTTTCAATTAACATGGAAAGATTCAGGAATTCAAGTCATGACTGTCAAAAGAAGATCCGCTGAGATGTCAGAAATGTTTTATCCACCTAGGAATGCTACGGGTCAGTTCCCATCAGAAATGGCGGCTTTCTGTTGAGATCCCTATTGTGTGAGGTTCTGAGAAAAGAATCTTACAGAAGGTGGAGTTTGTATGCCAACCCTTACTCTAAAGACTGTGTGCAGTCTGGATCCATAAATTTCATTATTCCAAGTGAAGTATTTCAACATTCATTTCTCATTATCAAAACTTTGTCTTTCACATGTGAGATAATCAAAGAATGTGAGGAGATGCTCACCTTTTTGGAAATGGTCCTCAAGGCCTCCAGAATTACTTCATTTGTGTCCTGTGCTGCACTGGCTCTCATCAGCAAAGTAACAGTGCGTCCTGGAAGATGAGCCACTGCCAACACTGCCTGTTTCAGGAGGATTTTCCAGCAATTTGTAACAAATATCATCTCTTGCAGAACATCATCATCCTAAGCAACCAAGATAGAATGTTACATTAAATTGAGTGAAATACAGCACCAGCCCCGTCACATGCATGTGGTCTTCTCACAGAGTTGGTGTGCTACAACACATTTTTGGTATTAATGAGCATGTATAAAAGGCCTTCAGTATGAGACACACCTTGTCCACTTGTAGCATGTAGGATATTGATCTACAGGATGCTAAACTAAGTCTAATTTGGACGTCACAGTTTTTTTTTTTTTCTAATCAAACTGATCCCATTTTGTTTTCTGTCTACATTCTGCCATCTGTCTTCTGATTAGGTATTTTCTTTCTATTCAATAGTTGATTGTTTTCCTTGTAAGTGAAAAACAAGATATTGTTGGGACTCAGCATGTGCCTGCAGGACCTGCCTCAGATGTTCTAGATGCCAACACTCTCAGGATCAAGGAGCCCAAAACTTCTTCACACTAATGATTCAAATTGGTCACTCATGTATTAACTTTTCATATTATTGTGAGTTATTAAGACAAAAGTACAAAGAAGACAACGTGCCATTCAAACTGCTTCTAGGGCAACACGGCTCCACACCACTTGCTTCTTCAGAGAAGAACATTTGTTCATGTGTACAGGTGAAGAACAGGGACATGACATTGCTTTTAATGATGACGTCAGTGAAACCACAATAGATTTTGGTACTCTGCCATAGTCATACATGAAAGTCATTTCTGACTTAACATGCTTGATCTGGTGTCTCTTGGCTACTCAAGTGATGATGAAGACAAATACTGGAGAGGAATCCAATGGACACTGCAAGGAAATGTGTGACACACATGAAGGGAAGGGGCAGGACACAGGGAGGTGGAGAAACAGGTTTCTGGGAGCCCTGTGCTGCGAAGATGGAGAGGTAGGTCAGGAGTTGATGAAGCCTTGGTCATGTTCTTATCTGGCTTCCAAGCTGTTCACGGTCTATGCAGGGTTTGGGAGCCTTGGGTCACTATTTTTCTAACAGAACCTTGTCAGGAGAATTTTTGTGAGAATCAAATTCACCATGCCAGCTGAGAGATTTTAGTTTCCAAGAATGGAGCTCTGAGCACACATTCTCATGTCTTTCACTTTTTTCACATCTTCTTTGAATTTTTCTTACAAAAATCATATATTTTAATGAGAACATATTATGCATAGTTTATTGATGCTAGAATTAAAATCATGGAGAGAACAAATTACATGTGCAAGCTGTGTACTCATATGCAGTTGGGTTTGAATCATGCAATGACTGGTTATGACAGAGTCAGAAGGGAGAGAGCAAAGCAGTTGCACATCAAACAGCTGAGCTATGTAAACCTCACCACAACAGAGGTCACCCTGATGAGCAGATTGGAGCATGTAGAGGAACTGCTTGTACAGCTGATTTTTACTGACGATAGAAAAGGAATCAGGTCAGGGAGGACAGCACACACATGAGGAGATGCAGAGGCAGGACCAGGAGCGTTGTGAAACTCAAAGAAACAGACCCTTGATGCTGTGAAGCATGAGACAGGCGAAGGTGCTTAAAGCGTGGGTGGCAGAGTGAGAAGGTTTACATGACTATTACTGATTCTTCTAATAAAATCATTAAGTGTTTTCCATTTATGCACGTATGCTCGACTGTGTTTAAGGATTATGAAAACTGGCCAGTTATTTTCATTTTGCTGTACTAGCCTGTGTTTTCTACTCAATTTTAGTTGTTTGTGAATTAAAATTAATTCATTAATGTTGCCAAAACTAGAGAATTGTGATGTGCTACCAGCAGAGGAAAACTTATAAATATAGCATTAATATAATTGTATTCACATTCTTGTACATATGCATGAATGTATATCAAGCCCGGAATGTTCAGTTCAAAACTTTCCAAGGATTAATAACAATCCTTCAGGCAAGGTGTGGTAAAAAAAAACAGTCCTCTAACTCTCCTAGCCTGCACTCCTATCCTCAGGCCTCTTGGGGTAAGTCTATAGCACAGCCCTCTGCGCCTTGACTCCCCAAGCCACATTCACCCTTCCATCTCCCCCGCTGTTTGCTACTCCCAGTTTGGGACCTGCGCCATTCCTAGTCTTGAGGCCCCAGACACCTGGGGAACCAATACTGCTTCCTGATCCTTCTCACTCAGACCAACTTAGTGCCTTTCTTGGGCCCCAGGAGCACCGCTTCTGGTCCTGGACCGGCCCTCACCTCCCTCTGCGTCCCTGGGCCTGCACCACCGGCTAACTCTCCTAGCCTGCACTAC